GACCCTGCGCCAGGACCTGGAACAGTCACTGCCGACGCCGGGACCCATGGCACTCACTCATTGCAGTATCAGGGCTTAAGTCTACCTAGTGCCCTAGTGCTAATATAGACTGATAGTAACTTTCAGATTTAAGTGGGGAGTAGGATTAAGACTAATTTTACGACCAGCTGGTGCACTCGACTCCCGGACCTTGCATCGTGGACCTGATTGGACCGGGACTTGGACCAGTTTCATCTCTTCAAACTGGACAATAATACACTTTTGGAGACGGAACCAACAGGGTGGTGGATAGAGGATACACTGCTTCAGTCCTCTGCAGAAGGTAAGATGATAAGATCTAAGAATGGAGCCTCACAGGTAAATAGTGCTAATAGTTAAATAGTGCATAAATGAGCTTGTGGGTACAACGGAGCCGCTTTGGTGTTTTGCCATGCGCATTGTAGGAGCGGCATTGATGCCGTGTGTTCATGTTTTGACTGTAGCCTCTTATTGTAGGTTTGCTGACGTTGGGGCTGGTTGTGAGTGGTGGATCAGGTTTTGTCATTAGGGCTGGTTGTTGTGGATGGTTGTAAGCGGTGTGTTATGTTACGTTGTTGTGGATGGTTGTAAGCGGTGTGTTATGTTACGTTGTTGGGGATGGTTGTGAGCGGTGGATCAGGTTTTGCTCCTCCGTAAACTTTGCGGTTGGCTGTACATTGTGCTTTAATTGTGGTAACCAGAACACAGTGCAAGTGTAGGACAGGGAACTGATTAAATATGAAACAAATTATTTATATTCATTCAAGATATACTGTAGTTTAGCCAATAGTTACAAAATGACTGTACTGTCTCTGGCACACAATAGCCTAAATAAAACATATACTTAAGATATCATTTTGGCCTAGGCACCCCTCTAAAAAGTTATATCACCAGCTGCCACTGAGTAAGTTAATGTCTGTAAAATGTAAAATTTTCATGTGCACCAACAAGATTCTCACTGATTTGTTGTTAAGATCGGCAGACCAGTGAAAAATAATACAACCCAAAAAATTATGGCGACACGCATGACAACTTCCTGTATAGCGTGAATAGCACTGTGCTTGGGTAAAATGTTTCATCATGTAACAAAATCAAATTTTATTCAGAAATCAAGACAAAACCCGCATCAATGAGAAGCAGGAAGTAATATGGCATGACCTGCTCCTGCCAATCCCTGAAGACCCTGCATTCAAAGTAGATGTGAGTATGAGGGATTTGTAGATATTTAAACAGAAAAGCACTGGAGAAATGCTACAGAAACAAGTAACATTACTACCCCTTTTATGTGGGATCTTTGTATGTTTTACTCAAGGCAATCTCACCAGCAACCACATTTATATTGTTTTGTCTTGTACTATTTTACTCCAAAAATGTTTTTCTTCATGTGCAGATGGGACGTGTGCAGTGCCCCCTGTTGTTAGTGGTGGGTCAGGATGATCAGAACTGGCCATCTTTTGTATCTGCTTTGGATGTGAGTTCAGTGTATTTGGGGATAACATAGCAACTACCGCAGACTGTCAGGTGGAAAATATTAAAACATAAATTTAGATGTGTTAATTTTAAAATTGATAAAACAGATAAAGGCGATGATGGAGAAGGCTGGGAACATTCATCTGCTCACTCTGCTCACGTATCCCGACGCTGGTCACCTGATCGAGCCTCCGTACTCTCCACACACACGAACCAGCATCTTCAGAACACCTGACACCAGAGAATTATGTAAGACAAGATGTAAAAAGCTTAAGAAAGTATGCTGTCAGCATACTGCACAAAGTGTAGATCAGGGCTGGGGGATTAAATGCATGATGAGATGTGATTTTCCTTTTCTTTTTCTTCCTGGCTTCCAGACACAACACTGTGGGGCGGGCAGACTGTAAGCCACGCTCGAGCTCAGGAGGATTCCTGGAGGAAGGCTCTTGTATTTTTGAGAGAGCACCTTTATGGTTGAGAAAAATATTTACATCAAATGTATGAGATCAATAAATACATGTGTGATGTGATGTGTGGGTCAACTGCATATGGACTGTGATAGTAAATTGATTTACAAATATGCGGGTTAGTTTTTCTAAGAGACCCTTTAGAATGAGGACCACATCCTGCTGCTTGCTGCCTTGCCTGGACCACTGAAACCTGGGACTGGCACAAGATCCAGAGCACTGGGACACACAAACTTTAAGCTTAGGGCACATGTAAAAATGTACCCCATTATACATGGAAAATATGTTGGTTTTAGTTGGTTTTACTACATGTGAAATTCAGGTTTTCAAACTGGTAATAAAGGGGTTAAAATCCTGATGATTTTTATAAATGTGATATTTTTAATTAGAGCAGGGAGAAATGTTTTATTTTAGTCAAAGTTTTTTACCTTTAGTCAAAATTTCTTTTACCTTAAAAGATAAAACATTACATAGCAAAGGATACTGGAAATTTAACTCCTCCATGTTAAATAATCATTTTGTACTGAAATTACAAAAGAAATCACTAATATTTATAGCAATTCAAATATTATTTCAAGCATTAGAAAATAGGAGTACTTCAAATTCAGAGCCCATCAGATTGCTATCAATCATAATAAAATGGCTGGTATTGCCAGTAAAAAAAAGAGGAAGAAGTAATTAAATTAATATTTGCAATAAACCTCTATTAAATGAAACAGAAATAGCAATGTTGTGGATATTCTAAAGTAAAGAATAAACTGAGAAGTTGTCTTAAATCAAACAGTCTGATTTATTTCAGCAATTGTGCGCATAATCACAGTACTGTCTGTCCCTGACAAAGGCATCTTTCTGGTGGTCATAACAACACATACTGGATTTTATACCCCTGGGAAGGCCATAGGGCTCATGGATGATGTTGAGCCACATGGCAATAGGTAAAAGACATAACGCCACCTTACAAGGACAGGTCAACACAAAGCTGGGTCATTGGCAGTAAAATAACATGTAAAACAAGTGATCCAAAACACAACTCTAAGAAGACACAGAATGGCCCCTCTGAGGCTCCTCACTAAATACAAAGTCCAAGTCTGATTACCAATGATTACACGGGGCAAGGTAGTCTGATGCAGCTCAAGGGTCGCCAACGGACCCCCTGATCAGAAATCATAAGGCTAACTATTCACTAATTATCTACAATACATATATAAATGTTAGCACAAGTGATTAAAGATGATAATGTAAAGATTTCCAACTCCCCTCTATTGATAATAATAAAATCACATTTTATTCACATTAATCAACTAAACCAACAGAGTTTACATAAACACAGTTGGAAATAGACATATTTTTGGAGATAGCTAAAGCTAACAAATAGACAACAAAATAACATACCAATCATATTACAAGTGTAACCCAATAATATCAAGCAAATGGATACAAAGGCTAAAATGAAAGTAAATGATTAAACACCCATAAAAGCGGCATAACATCCAGTTAACACTTCACTCAGATTGTTCAGCTTAAACCTAAACTGTCTAACACAGTGGTTTTCAATAGGTGAGCATGCCTCCCTCAGTGGCTCTCCCTCCATCCATTTTCTTCTACTTATCCAGGGCCAGGTGGCAAGGACAGGAGTCTGAGCAGGGATTCCTAGACTTCCTCACTCCAGACACTTCCTCCAGCTCCTCCGGGGGGGACTCCAAAGTGTTCCCAGGCCAGCCAAGAGACATAGTCCCTCCAGCGTGTCCTGGCTCTTCCCGGGGCCTCCTCCCGGTGGGACATGCCTGGAACACCTCCCAAGGGAGGCGCCCAGGAGGCATCCAGAACAGATGCCCGAGCCACCTCAACTGGTTCCTCTCGACGTGGAGGAGCTGCGGCTCTACTCCGAGCTCCTCCCCTGTGACCGAGTTCCTCACTCTATCTCTAAGGGAGCGCCCAGACACCCTGCGTAGGAAACTCATTTCTACCGCTTGTATCCGCGATCTCATCCTTTCAGTCATTACCCAGACCATAGGTGAGGGTAAGAACAAAGATTGAATGGTAAATTGAGAGCTTTGTCTTTTGAATCAGCTCCCCTTCACCACAACAGTCCGATACAGCGACTGCATCACTGTCGATGCTGCACCGATCCGCCTGTCAATCTCACGCTCCATCCTCCCTCCACCTTTTTCCGGTCAACAAAAAGAAAAAGCAATCAGCAATAGTAATAATGCCATAGACCATAATTCTTTACAAATTCCCAAACTATGGATTAATGGAAAATAATTCCCAAAAATTTACTAACTCTGAATTGAGAAAATGTTTTAACAAAATCATATATCCATTCGTGCACAACCCAAACGATGTTGCCAAGTACTTTAACAACCCAGAAAAGATCAAAATTACAACAGTTTATCTTAGACTCCCCATTCCTCCAAAAGCAGAAGAAGTTCATTATAAAACTCTGTGTGGAATCTACCCTTCCAGTGAATTCATCAGAACATGCTCTGGTATAGAATATAATAAATGCTCCTACTGTGACGTGGACGTAGAAACAACAGAGCACCTCTTCTTTGAATGTGTAAAGAGTATTACTTGATGGGAAGATGTACACTTCTGTTTGTTCTGTAAAATAATCCATCTAAAGGACTTCACCAAGAAAGACATTATTATTATTTGGACTTCTATGTAAGGATAAAATACATGAACTACTTTTGAATGTTATTATTATACTTTTTTCATCCACATTTTTCATCCACATAAACAAAATTTTGAAACATAAACCCCTTTTTATAGCATTTATCAAAGAGCTGAAACTTTTTTTTTTTTTTTGCCTCTCTCACCTTTAAGGACAGCGAGAACGCAATCATTCTGACTTATCACTAGCTATGAACTCTTAAACCCTTAAATTTACGTTGTTCCTGTCTGACCTCTCATTTGTCATGCTTACTTGCTCATTTAACATTGCCAAATTGTTTGTACTATATAATTTAGCAAAAACAAAACAAAAAAAAAAAAAAAAAAAAAAACAAAAAAAAAAAAAAAAAAAAAAAAAAAAACTATGGCTATTTCGCTGAACTCTGCTTTTGATTGGTTGAGCCAGTCACGTGATCTGCATCAGCGGAAGGTGGAGGAGGATATTTGGCGCTGCTTCGGAGGAGTTGACCTGAAGTGCTCTTTGGGGGAAGGATCCTGGGAATTGAAAACCCGTCGTTTGTTTGCTACTGGGCCGACAAAGACGTTCGGTGTGTTTGCCTCTGGACTTTATTAAGGCTGTGTCCCGCATTTTTTGTGATGGATGTGGGGAACAGACTTGTGTTCATGGGTCAGGCCCATTAGTGGTTTGACAAACTTGCCACAGCCACACGTGACCTGTATGCAGTTCGATACTGACACAGTATCTCACAATCGGATCGTCAGTCAGCCACATATAGTCAGCCAACAGCCCCGCATGAAAGCCAGAATCGGCCGAGACACGACTGCTACTTGAGTAAGTTCAGCGTGGTTACACAACATGAAACTCCAGAAGAAGTTGCAGCGAGTGTAGTGTGTCTGAAACATAAAACTATAATAAAATCTGGAAGGTGAAACCAAGATTTTATTTATTTATTTAATTTCAAATATACAGTGTAATATGGTTTGCAGTGGTATAAACAATAACATTGCTAGAGGCTTTATAATTCATATTTACAGGGCATTATACAGATGTAGAAATATAATAAATATGTTCACATTTTCTATTTCAAATTCCATACAAAGTGCTTTTGTTTTCATGGCTTTGGGATTTGTGTGTGATAGGATTAAGATTTAGTTCAACACATATATTTTTTACAAGAATATCTTTCTCAAAGACACCACAAAGTGCGTGTTTTGCAATGTAGGTTTGTATCAAGCTTTTTATTCAGAAACAAAAATATGTCATCCAAAAGATTTGAGTGTATGAACTTTCCCAAAACACATGGGTGACCATTTCTTCAACTCTGTGACAGAATGAGCAAAGATGATCCACGTTTAAGCGACATTTTGAAATAACAGCACTAACAGAGTTGTTCCAAAGAAAAACAGAAGCTGGTTTACTGAAAGACTCTCTTGTGATAAGTTCTTTTATACATTGGTTATTTGTTTTAATGATTAAAAATGGGTCAGAGTTACCAATAAACAGCTCTGTTTTAGCTGGGCCATCATGAGAAACATGTACATAAGTGAACATCATCATTTTCACACCAGAAGGGATGGCGTCAAAAACAATTACATATTCTCTTACATTAATGGAAAATTGTAAACATTGAAAAATTCATTGTAGGAGTAGGTGATGCCTTCGTTGTTAAATAGTTGGTGTATAAAGATCGTCAACCCCTTTTAAGAAAAGAGTTTTGTGCTTAAAGCATATATCCTTGTTATTCCATATGTAACACTTAGGCTATGTGGTGAGAAGTTGTGCTTATATACTAAAGACCAACATAACAGTAGCTATTTGTGAAAGTTACATTTAATTGAAAGATGCTATAATTACATCTCAAAATAAAGTTTAGACCTCCTGATGCTTCAAATACACGTGTTGAAATGAAGTTCCGTAAAGAATTTGGGATAAATAAATATCTTTAGATCCATTTATTTTTGAAAGAGGAATGTAGAGTCTGAAAATCTGGTATGTTAAATCTACCATTACTTCATTTGTTAATATTAATCATTAAATTTTTCCTAATGAGGTGTGCTTTTTTCTTCCAGATGAAATCTGATAAGATTTTATCTACTTGTACATATATGAATAAACTAGCCCTTCAGCTTTGAAGAGTAAAACCTTACCAGAGATCAGTAAGTCCCTTTTAAGCCACTTAATAAATTTATTTTGAATTCATAAACACAAGGGGGTTAAAGTGCTCACGTTGTCTTTTGTCTTTTATAATACTAACATCCAAATATTTCACTTTTTACTGATATTTGTAAGGAATTACAAGATTTGATGGGGAATAGTTTCCATTTGGGTGAGTTAAACTTGAGTCCTAAAGTTAAGGAAAATGTGGTTAATAGGTTAATAGCATAGTTTACCTGAGAACAGTCATTTAAAAAGAGTGTTTTGTCATCAGCAAGGTTCTCTTCCTACAATGGATTAAGATCACTGTCCTTAATATAACTGGCTAAATTTGCACGGGTAACAAAAATAAGAAGGCAGAAATTGGGCAGCCCTGGCATATTCCACGTTCTATATTGTCTATATATCTATATCTATATATATGTATATATCTATGAGTTGTTCCACTGCAGTACAAATGGAGCTGCTGTAAGCAATGATGAAGGGACCTGCAAAGAGGACTCCACAGTGGGAATAGGGAGAGGGAGAGGGAGAAGGAGGCTTGGGAGGCTCATGTTTCAAAGAGACAGAAGTGAAGGGAAAACAGGATTGTTTGAATATAATTTGAAACTATTCAGTTGTACTTCTGACACTTGATGATTTTAGCATGGGTTGAAGATTTAAATTCTGATATATCAGTTAAACACTGGGAGAAAGATTAATTCTTCCTCCATTAATAGTCGTTATTGATTTGTCCAGTTCGAGGTGGTACACAACTTGCGCTATTCTAAAACAGAATTTGCATAAAAAGTTTCCAACAGTGTTTTCTCAGTGTGATAAATGTTCTTGTGCTGAGGGAACACTTGATCATCTTATTTGGTTTTGACCACAATTACTTTCTTTTTGGTGTACAATTTTTAAGTGGTTTTCTAAGTGTTATTCTAAAGACATTAAGCCTGATTACAGCTTAGCTCTATTTGGATGTTCTATAAATGCTGCAGCTTGGGATGGTGGTGGCTAAAAACCTAATTTTGTTGGCATGGAATTCTACCACCACCAAATTTTGAAGACTGGCTTTGTGAAATACTATCTGTAATTCAAATGGAGCGTGTTTGATTGGACACTATGAACAAGAAAGAGACATGAAGCTATATGGGGAGCATTCCTGGCTCAATGCCATATCACCACAAATTGAGAAATGGGACATACATATTGGATCTTGACTGTTATTAGAAGAAAAAAACTTGCACATGGTAGCATTAAATAAAGGTAAATACATGAATTCATAAATAAAAAGTGTGGTGTTTACCTTCACATCACAACAAATGTAAGATACACAGGTATATACATCCGTGTTATGAGAATAATATGTTTTTTTTGCAGATCATTTTGGCATTAATGGCAAATAAACCGAGTGGTGTGCGGCTGTCCGTTCACCCATCCCGAGCTCTTGTGGATGAGAAGTTTAAAGTGCTGGTCCAAAATGCTCCTCCTGGGACTGAGCTGACGGTGCGCTCCCATCTCCTCAGTGAAGACAAACACAACTGGGAGGCGTTTGGACACTACATGTGTGACAGCACCGGGACACTCAACTGTAAGTCTCTCACTAAGTATTAATACTCCCCTGTTCACTTCAGTCTTTTCCGGTGGAGGGCCCATCACCTGCTTGTTCCAAAGGAGAATGCCTGGAATGTTCCATTAAATGTATTATATATCATATATTTTCCTGAAGACAAGTTATGCAAGCACACCATGTTAGAGGTCAAATTTGTAGAAAGGTGACTCTGCCATTAGTAACAGTATACCTGTCATTGACTAAATGCAAGACTTACCTGATATTTTAGTTCTCCAGTAAAACCAGTTACACCTCCATGGAGACAAGCAGGTGGCTGACCTCAAATCTGAAAAGTTACATAGTGCACCTTTGCATTGACAGTGTGTGAGGACCCCAGCCTGGGTGGGACATATGAAGGAGTGGAACCAATGGGATTACTGTGGAGCCTCAGACCAGTGCCAGGGAGTAAACCTGGACTCAGGTCAGACATTATAATGTGTGACTGTTCTTTCTACAGTATTTTTGTGTAGCAGCACATGTGATGTAAGAGTGGGTAGGAGATGTAATGCAAAGTGTATCTAATGAGTGTGACTAATGCAATATAATAATGGCTCAGGTTGAGGAAGACCAATGTGGAGACCCCTCTGGAGGTGACAGTGTCAGTGTACCAGGGCCACCTGTCAGAGGGCTTCAACGAGCAGAGCTGTCTGGCTGCTGTGCTGGTGGAGCGCTGGTACATGGCTCCTGGAGTCCAGAGGATACCAGTTACAGAGCACGACCTCACTGCTACACTCTTCCTCCCTCCAGGTGGGCTCTCCTTCTGCACAGTGTGTGCCAGGGGTCGACTTTGTTGCTTACAGAAGATTTTATGCAGGACCTGGCCCGTTTCCTGCTGTCCTGGACCTCTGGGGAGGAGGTGGCAATCTAGTGGAGTATAGAGCGTCTTTACTGGCGTCACATGGGTTTGCTGCTCTGGCCCTGGATTATCTGACCAATAAAGTCACAATGACAACTGGAAAAAGTATGAAGAATGACTACTTTGAGGTAATGAAGATCTTTTTTTATTTTGTCAACTTTGAAACTTGAAAGGCTGCTGTGTCAACATCACAATAGTGGAAGAGCAGCTCACTCTTTTTATCTTTAGGTAATAAATCACTTTGGTTCAAGATTATAAAAAAGGCTGCAGTAAATTTAAGGTTCAGTGACCTTATGTCCCCCAATTAAAGCACAGAACAGGTTGTTCTAAGGCACAGGTTGTTATTATGTAAGCCACATCTAATCAAAGTTTAATCTTACTTCAATATTGGTACAATGGGTACACACTGAAATAGCACAACATAAAAATATTTATTGAGGGTTTGATCTTCCTGTTATCTGCAAAATTTTGAGACATTTTTACCATTCAAAACAAAGACACTGTGCTCTAGTTGTTTGCCAGTGGAAAGGACACTTGTGCATATTTTACACTTTTCACCTATATTCTGTTTCTTTCACCACTACCACCTGAATGTATATGCCTTATTGTAATTATGTAAATATAACATAAGCACTGTGGGTCCATGCTCCTACTTAGAATCATCATTTTAGATGAAAGAGTAATTTGGTGCAAGGCAGTGAAGGATACACTTTTGTTTCCTTGCTAAATTAGCCACATGTTAACCAGATGGAGAACACATGCCTGTGGAGGAGATGAACATTTAGAACAGGACTTGGGCAGCGACTGATACCTGGATGCCTTACCATGCCCAGATTAGACAAGGCAAGATGCCTTGTATTTGAGAAAAATCTTTGATGAGCCTCCACACAGGCCAGATTAGGGAAGAACAGGAAAGAATGATTTTTCATCACTCTGAAACAGATGGATGAACAGATTTTCCCATAAGTTGGCTAAAGTCCAGCCACCAATGAATTAATCATGATTTACATGGTGTTCATTAGACCATTATGTTTGATAGTACATGTAGCTTGTTATTGCTTTTCTAGACTGCCTATAAATTCCTGGAGCAGCATCCTCAGATTGTGGGCAGCAGGATCGCCATGTGGGGCCTGTCTTTTGGTACAGCTATGACCTTAAAAATGGTCGCTTACTCCAAGGTCATGAAGGTAACAGTGAACTTGTGCTACATTGATTTTCATATATTCAAATAATTTAAAAAAATTATGTTTATTTCACTTGAAAGAAGGCATAATTTTAAAACTGTAATGTCACTGTGGTTTCTTTGTGTTTCTCAGCTTAGATGTGCAGTGTGTATCAACGGAAGTCATGTTCAGCCAGTGAACGGCAGCGTTGAAGAACTATTGAACTACTTTAGTATGTAAGTTATGTTGCTGCTAACAGCTTTATCATCATTTAATTTTAGCCATTGCTTAAGTCATTGGAGATGACAAATCCACTGTCAAATTTAATGTAAGTGTAATATAATATTCCTGACCTTGTAGTTTGAAGATTGCATTGCAAGTTGTTATTGTTTTTATTTTTTCATCAGCTCTTTCTGCGAGGTGTGTGATATACTTCTCTTTGTACCTAATTCTATTCACCTTATTCTGACCCACCCACTTTTGTCTCTAAATGCTGCTAAACTGTGCTTTCTTGTGGTGGCACTTCCAGTTCAACAGGAATATCATTCATTTCAGTGGAGAGTTTGGGAAATGTTTTGCATCTTACCGTATTTTCCGCACTATAGGGCGCTCTGGATTATAAGGTGCACTGTCACTGAATGGTCTATTTTCGAACTTTTTTCACAAATAAACTGCACCGGACTTTCAAAACACAACAGTTAGATGGGTTAGTTGGACTTTGTTTGGCGCGTTCACGGTGACTCTCGGCTTTGTTCAGTTGTGGCGTGTAGGGAGGGTGCTGTCTGGGACCACTGGATTGTTGGCGTGTTTGCAGTGACTCAGTTGTTCAATTGTGGCTAGAAGTGACACATTGCACTTGCTTTTTCGGTTCGTTCCTCCGTTTCATTCCTTGTCCACGTGGAGTGATGAGTGTGGCTGCGAGTGTTTTTCACTGCATGGTCGCTGTTTGCTCTGTGCGTGTTTGCGTGCGCCGCGGGTGGTGCGGCTTTGTAGTTTACTGAAGTCGTGCTGGGACACCCGAGTGGATTCGTGTATAGGGCGCTATGGATTGTGGGGTGGGCAGTTGTTTTTTGATGGGGTTGGAGGCTTATGAGCGCGCCCTATGGTGCAGAAGATATGGTAATTATGACATAAAGTTCATTTATGTAACATGTTCAAAACCAACCTCTCAACTTCTCACCAACTGTCTAGGGGTTTTAAAACAGCTTTATAGTCTTTATTGAACTTATTTTCTGTTAAGATCGGCAGCCCCATGCAAAATAATACAACCCAAATGATGATGGGGACGTGCATACAAACTTCTGGAATAAGGTGAATAGCACTGTGCTTGGGTAAAATGTTTTATCATGTAACAAAACTGTATTCAGAAATCAAGACAAAGTCCGCATCAATGAGAAGCAGGAAGTAATATGGCATGACCTGCTCCTGCCAATCCCTGAAGACCCTGCATTCAAAGTAGATGTGAGTACGAGGGATTTATAGATATTTAAACAGAAAAGCACTGGAGAAATGCTGAAGTAACATTACTAACCCTTTTTATGTGGGATCTTTGTATGTTTTACTCAAGGCAATCTCACCAGCAACCACATTTATATTGTTTTGTCTTGTATTATTTTACTACAAAAATGTTTTTCTTCATGTGCAGATGGGACGTGTGCAGTGCCCCCTGTTGTTAGTGGTCAGTCAGGATGATCAGAACTGGTCGTCTTTTATAGCTGCTATGGATGTGAGTTCACTGTATTTGGGGATATCATAGCAGCTACTGCAGTTTGTAAGGTGGAAAATATTGAAAGATAAATTTAGCTCTCTTAATTTTAAAATGGTATATTCAGTATACAGGTGGGAGTACAAATTAAAGTTATCAAAATAAAGTTATCAAGCAAAGTTATGGAACATCAAGAATGTGATTTTTATTTATTATCTGAATTTTAACAGTAGCTATTCTCCCTATATTGTCCTTGTGTCTCACTTAATGTCTGAATGCTGGGAATTGTGAAGTCTTTACTTTAGTAGACATTTGATTGCATGTTGCTTACATTTCATTCCTATGGTAGTTAAAGTTGTTGATGTTTTGTGTTAGATAAAGGCGATGATGGAGAAGGCTGGGAACATTCACCTGCTCACTCTGCTCGCGTATCCCGACGCTGGTCACCTGATCGAGCCTCCGTACTCTCCACTCACACGGGCCAGCAACTTCAGATCATTTTACACCCAAGACCTGTGTAAGAGAAGTTGTAAAAATGTTAAGCAAATATGCTGTCAGCATACTGCATACGGCACAAAGTGTAGATCAAGCTGAGGGATTAAACGCATGATGAGATTTTATTTTCCTTTTCTTTTTCTTCCTGTCTTCCAGGCATGGTGTTGTGGGGCGGGCAGACTGTGGGCCACGCTCGAGCTCAGGAGGACTCATGGAGGAAGGCTCTTGTATTTTTGAGAGAGCACCTTTATGACAGGACAAAAACATTCACATCAAATCTGTGAGATCAACAAGTACATGTAGAATGGGTAGAATGATGGGCAAAAGACACATTTTAATCATAAATGATAAAAATAACATATCATTTTCATTCGTTTAAAAAAAAACAAATATAAATGGAAATTTGTTTATTTGTTCGTTGTTTAAAGATTTTGAAATTTATATTCTTTTTTTATTCTTTAGAATTCAGATAATTTTCAGAAATGTCCTTTAAAACCAGTGGAAAGGGCCTTTCAGAACTTATTTTAGACAAACTTTTTAATCTTTCTAGAACTCATAAAAATGTACTCCATTATACCCTGAGTTCTGTTTTCTGAAAAATATCAGTTTTAGAGGTCATTTTTTTCAAGGTCAAATTCAGGTTTTGAAACCGGTTATAAAGGGGTTAAAATCCTGATGATTTTTTATAAATGTGATCTTTTTGATTAGAGCAGGAACAGATCTTTATTTTAGCCCCCCCAAAAAGTGTGGGGAAAAAAATTAATCTATGATGATTTTACTGCTGCTTTTATGAGTGGACATTTATGTCCATAGGGTCCTAAGTGTTATCCTACACAAAAACTAAAAATGCTACAAACTTCCAATTTTAGACAATGGATACATATAAAAATGTTCACCATTATAGCCTGGCTTCAGTTTTCTGGAAATTTTTTCAATTTTAGAGGTATTTTTTATTAAAAGAGTTAAATATAAACACAGATGTTTATAAATTTGCTATTTTTGATTACAGTCCCTGACAAAAGTCTTGTCGCTTATCCATTTTGTAGAAACAAAAACTTATAACCTGACTTTAAATTAATCGATTGGTTTTAGAAATGTCTCATATGAAAGCTAAAACCCTCCCAAATTATGCTCAATATACTAAAATAAATTTGCTTCACTGAAGAAAGATTGATCATTTAATGAACACAGAAAGGTCAGATTTTGGCAAGACAAAAGTCTTGTTGCCTTGTCATATGATTCACCCAATCCTAGATTACAGCCTCACCCATGATCAGTTACTGATCAGTCAGTTAGTGTTTGTGTATAAAAAGAACCCCAGCACACCAGACCTTCACATCAACTGCAACTTGACCTCTGACAACATGCCTAAGATCCACCCTGAGACAAACCAAGTGCGTTAATTATCAAGAGGCTGAAGACCAGATCCACTGCTGAGGTGGCTGACACCTTCAATGTGTCTCAGCGTCAAGTACAAAGAATAAGAAAAAGATCTGAAATGACTGGAGATGTTTTTGACAAGCCCAGGTCCGGCAGACCCCACAAGACAACTGCTCGGGAGGACCGTTTGTTGATTCGAAAATCCAAGGCCAGCCCCTTTTCCACTGCAGCAGAGCTCCACCAGGCCTGGTCACCTCAAGTCCCTGTGGTCAACCTGAACAGTTTGTAGAATTCTGTCTCGAAATGGCCTCCATGGTCGAATCAGTGCACAGAAACCAGCACTAAACAAAAGGCAATTAAAAAACCGTGTGGCATTTGCCAAGGCCCACACTCTGCTAAAAGGATGGACACTGGAAAAGTGGCAGAAGGTGGATTTCTCAGATGAATCCTCGGTTGAATTACATCACAGCTGCCACAAATATTGCAGGAGACCTACTGGAGCCTACATGGATCCAAGATTCACCCAGAAAACAGTTAAGTTTGGTGGCAGAAAAATCATGGTCTGGGATTACATCCAGTATGGGGGTGTGTGAGACATTTGCAGGGTGGAAGGCAATATCAATAGCCTAAAATATCAAGAAGTATTAGCTACCGCTTACATTCCCAACCATAAAAGGGGTCAAATTTTGCAGCAGGATGGTGCTCCATCGCATAATTCTATCTCTACATCAAAGTTTCTCAAGGTGAAGAAGATCAAGGTGCTCCAGGACTGGCCAGCCCAGTCACCAGACATGAACATCATTGAGCATGTCTGGGGTAGAATGAAAGAGGAAGCATGGAAGACAAAACCAAAGAATCTTGATGAACTCTGGGAGGCATGTAAGACGCTTTCTTTGCTATTCCTGATGACTTCATCAACAAACTGTATGAATCATTGTTGAACCGCATGGATGCAGTCCTTCAAGCTCATGGAAGTCATACAAGATATTAAATATGGATCTCACAGCACCACTACTTAATTCACTGATGTTATGCAACATATTTTTGTATTTGAAGTAAATTATTTGTTCAATTTTCTGTGGGCGACAAAACTTTTGTCTTGCCAAAATCTGACCTTTCTGTGTTCATTAAATGATCAATCTTTCTTCAGTGAAGCAAATTTATTTTAGTTTATTGAGCATAATTTGGGAGGGTTTTAGCTTTCATATGAGACATTTCTAAAACCAATCGATTAATTTAAAGTCAGGTTATAAGCTTTTGTTTCTACAAAATGGATAAGCAACAAGACTTTTGTCAGGGACTGTAGAGAAGGGACAGATCTTTGGATTTAGTTGAAAAAATATTAATCTGATCAATTTTATAGCCGCTTTTGTGGACCCTAAATGTGACTTTTTTGTTCTGAGTAATCCAATGCAGTGGATAAAATAAAATAAAATGGAAACTAAAAACTTCAAGATGGAGCGAGCGAGGGCTGCGAGTAAAAATGTCTACTACAAGAGACCAGTCGTCTACATCGATTGAGTGAGAGTGACCTCTGACTAATCACAACGGGTTGTGCAATAGCGTCTGACGCGAACAAATCGTGTCAACCCCCCAGTTCTCCGCTTTTGAGTCATTCGCTTCATTCGCGCGTCCAGGATGCTCGAGTTTGGGAATTTGGTCGTGCAAGTAAATACGCTCTATTTGCTGTGTTCCCTCCAGAAGGATGAACTGCGCCTGCGCGGTGTCCTCTCAGTCTGCTGCTTGGACTACATTGAGCGGGTGCTTTATTTAATGTGGAGGAGACGTGATCCACTTTGACTAGTGTGACTATTTTGACTAGTTTCGATGCAAGTTTAAACTGTTATTATTTTGTAAAAATGTAGACTATAACATGTCATAGATACACACTTAGTTGTCTTTTGCTGACTATAGCTAATCGGCCGCAATTTTCCCGATCACCGTGCAGCGTGGATTTCTGTAAACAAACATACGTGAGTATCTACTTTTTCTCTCTTTTATTTAAAGACCGTTTCAGATAGCGACCGTTTCATTGATAGCGATGTTTTTGGTCAGGGTGTTATATATTTGAGGAGGGAAATCTTAGGCTATTGAATAGACTATAGTGTTCATGTATGTCCTTAACATCATGACTTTACACTGAGTACAGTGCATTGTGAATTTGTTGTCATTTTTTTCCCCGATCACTTTCTCACATTAGATTAAAACAAACTTCAGCCCATGATTAATATTGTTTGAGTAACAACATTACTACATCTTTGTCTTTAGAATAATTTTCTCTACAATTAGACACCGAGGCAAACATATGTACCATGCTATCCTGTGTTGACATTCTGTGGGTTTAGTCTTTTTGTGTCTTTATGTAGAAAGAATGATCTTTTTAACCCTCACTCTCCTCGGGGTCACATAGACCCGAATAATTTTTTTCCCTTCCCGCTCTCTTGGGGCGGGTCAATCAGACTCAAAAATTATTTTTTCTTTATTTTTGACCCACCCCAAGAGGGCGGGAAGGAAAAAAAAATCTTCGGTCTATGTGACCCCGAGGAGAGCGTGAGGGTTAAACGTGTAAGCTCAGAGGGCTGCTCAGACACTGATCAATAGTTAGAGCCTAACAGCACCATCTATTGGATTATTTGTGCAACGCCAACTGTTTTAAGATTGTCACTGCTGATATTACCCATACAATCTATACAAATGTTGGGCAATTCTTACTTGTTGGTTTTTTAAACTCTGCACAAGATAAATTCCATCCATCCATTTTCGTCCGCTTATCCGGGGCCGGGTCGCGGGGGTAGCAGCCTAAGCAGGGACTCCCAGACTTCCTTCACCCCAGACACGTCCTCCAGCTCCTCTGGGGGGACCCCGAGGCGTTCCCAGGCCAGCCGAGAGACATAGTCCCTCCAGCGTGGCCTGGGTCTTCCCCGGGGCCTCTCCTCCCGGTGGGACATGCCCGGAACACCTCCCGAGGGAGGCGCCCAGGAGGCATCCGGAACAGATGCCCGAGCCACCTCAACTGGCTCCTCTCGACGTGGAGGAGCAGCGGCTCTACTCCGAGCTCCTCCCGTGTGACTGAGCTCCTCACCCCATCTCTAAGGGAGCGCCCAGCCACCCTGCGGAGGAAACTCATTTCGAGCGCTTGTATCCGCGATCTCGTCCTTTCGGTCACTACCCAGAGCTCATGACCATAGGTGAGAGTAGGAACGAAGACTGACCGGTAAATCGAGAGCTTCGCCTTTCGACTCAGCTCCCTCTTCACCACAACGGTCCGATACAGCGACCGCATCACTGCCGAAGCTGCACCGATCCGCCTGTCAATCTCACGTTCCGTCCTTCCCTCACTCGTGAACAAGACCCCGAGATACTTGAACTCCTCCACTTGAGGCAAAGACTCCCCATTTATGATTAAAAAATGAAAACAAGACCAACCAATGCATAATTACAATGTGTTTGTGACATCACCAGCCTTTGAAACCTAAATCTTTTCATTCTGATTGTGTATTGCATTTTCCAGGTACCTGCCACTTCTTTTGACAGTTTTCAAGTGGCTCTCTCAATGGTGGTGACTACCATTTTGGACTGCCTCATGAGGTGTTTAGCTGTCTCCCCACTGAAGAATGGAGATCATGGCTGAGGTATGGTGTAATGGACATCGACAACGTGGACATCCAGGCACTGCTTTACAACTTCAAGTGAGCTTCAAGGAGAGGAGACATACCTGCAGGGATGGGCCTAACTTCTGCAGATGGGTGCTGCCTTTGTGTCACGTCTTCCTCGGCCTCTGAGAGAAACCTCCTGGTCCTACTTCACAGCGCAGGAGCAGACACATGACACTGAGTCAAAGGACTGACGCACAACACATCTTTTAAGATTATACTTGAGCATAATTCTTCACAAAGAAGTTCTTTGCACTATAGCTAAAATAAAGAGGTGCTGTTTCCGCCCGCCTCTGTATCTCTATATCTGTTCCAAGCATTTACTGCCATGTACATACACATTTACATTACTTATAGGCACACTGTGTAACTTTAATGGTGAAGGTCATCTGGTCATCTGATATTTTTCCATGGAGACTTTATTGCTTTTGCCTGAAATGTTCCACAGTAGGCTTAATCTGATCTATTTTGCATTTATTCAACTACAGGTGTTTTCATTGCTTAAAACACTGCACAGATCTGATGTGTAACTTAGCTTGGTGCATTCACATTTTCATCTTCATGGAGATAGATATGTTTAACTGTGGAGGATTCTGAACAAAGCAACAACATCTCCATAGAGACAAGGAGGTAACAGACCCTCCACCAGAAAAGTTACACAGTGCAGTAATTTTTTTGTTTAAGCTACAATCGAATCGTGCTGCAGAACTTTATTCGCATGTGAACGTGCCTTTACATAGGGTTAACATATAAATCATTCCCCTGGTTTGTGCCAGACGCTTGTGTGAACAGAGGGGTTTCACTAAAGAGCTGCCCTACCTAACTTCTATAGAACCACTTTTTAATGTCATTTTATGAGTCATTTTTCTTTTATCTCTCTTAATGCTAGGGCCCTCAGAAACAATATTAAAAGAAAAAAAATAATGTTTTTATTTTGCAAAAATACTAAAACAAACTGTTCTTTTACAAGAAACCCATTATAGTGAAGAAGATGCACAATTCTGGACCAATCAGTGGAGTGATAAAGTATTTTAATGTCATGGAACCAACAAATCTGCTGGAGTAGCTATCTTATTTAACAATTTTAGTGGGAAAATCCAAAACATTCACAAAGACACCAGTGGCCATTGAATAATTTCTATTTTAGAAATGGATAACAATCTTTTAATATTAGCAAATGTCTATGGGTACAGTTCAAAATAAAATACTATTTTTAGAATGTGCAAACAATCTTAAACCACTCAGTAGAAAATATTGCACTTCCAATGTTATTATTGGAAGGTGATTTCAACATGGTCTTAAATGATTGGCTTGACAGATCCTCCTTCAAATTCGACTCTCTTCATCTGAATCCTATTGTAGACTATATTGCCCCAAACTCTTTGATCCTTGGGCCAATCTAGAAAAGAAGCTCTTCTCCTTGTACAAAACTGGTGGCTCTTCAAAGTCACGCCTTGATTTTTGGAACATCTCAAATGATTTTGCAAGGTTTAATATTGAAACCTTCATATTTGCTGCCCCTCTAACAGATCACGGCTTAATCCAATTCTCATTTGCCTTAAAAGATAAAACTTTTCATAGCAAAGGATACTAGAAATTTTACTCCTCCATGAAAATTACTGAAATTACAGAAGAAATCACTAATATTTATAGTGAAAATATATTATATAAATAATAATGTTATTATAAATATTATTTCAAACATAAGCAAATGGGGGAGTACTTCAAATTCAGAGCCTATCAGATTGTTATCAAACATAGTAAAATGGCTGCTATTGCCAGTAAAGAAAAAGAGGTAATTAAAGGAATTCATTTGCAATAAACCTCTACTAAACGAAACAGATAAGTAACTATTAATTTTCTTACAAACTTACAGATGACAGCTATACCAATAAAGCAAAAGGGGCGTAGCTCAGGCCCCATGCCAAATGGATAGAAAATGGCGAAAAAATACTGCCTACTTTTGTTGTCTTGAAAAATAAAGATAAGAAAAAAACAGTATCAAATCATTAGTTGTCAATGGCATTTGATCTACTGATCATAAACTAATTTTCAGTGAAATTTCCAATTTTGATGGCAAACTGTATTCCTTCTCCTCTAAATCAGATGCACATCTAAATCAGATATCGTTTTTTCAATATATGCAATTTTATTCACCAAATTGATGAACATTTGAAGGAATTATGTGATGCTGAAATAACACTAGATGAATTAGATAAAGCAGTGAATTTTCTTTCTTCTGACAAAGCCCCAGGCTGTGATGGTTGAACTAGCAATTTTTATAAACATTTTTGGCCTGAAACAATTTCACATGGTGGCCTGTCTCATATTCTAAAACAAGGAGTTATCACCCTAATCCCTAAACCTGGGAAAGACTCTACTCTAATTGACAATTTAAGACCTATTAATTTATTAAACAATGGCTACAAAATTTTATCTCATATATTCACTAATAGATTAAAATCAGGCATTTCTCAAATGATTTCAGATACACAATCAGACAGGCAGATCCATACACAATAATATCCATCTCATTATGGATCTGATTTATTACAGTCACTTTATACAGGACCAAGGATTTAGCCTCCTCCTTGATTTCTTCAAGACATTTGACATGATAGAACATGAATTTATGTTTAAAACCTTAGAAAATTTCTGTCTTGGGAATAATTTCATTAATATTATAAAAATCCTCTATAAAGACACGGTTCAGTGTCCTTATGAAATGGTACTTCTCAAAGATTTAATATAAATACAGTGATAAAGCAAGGCTGTCCTATCAGTGCTGTTTTATTTATAGCGGCTGCTGAAATGCTATCACTTTACATAAAGAACAGTATCTTTGGTAAACTTAATGTGATGGGACAGCTGTTGTCTATCTGCCAACTCGCAGATGACACTACTATTTTTCTAAATCATCTAGATGAAATACACAAAATTCTACAAATTATCATTATATGTATATCATTATATCGTCAACATATCTTTGGACTTCTATGTAAGGATAAAAAACATGAACTACTTTTTTATCTTATTAGACTTATTCAACCACATTTTATAGCATTTATCAAAGAGCTGAAACTTTTGCCTCTCTCACCTTTATGGATAGCGAGAATGCTATCTTTCTTAAAAAAAACAACAAAACAACAAAACACATCACTAGCTACGAACTCTTAGACCCTTAGCATCTCATGACATTTATTTTATTATAATTTTTTATTTACTTTGTTTCTGTCTGACCTCTCATTTGTCATGCTTACCTACTTGACTATTTAACATTGCCAATTTGTTTGTGTCATATAATTTTGCATAAAAAACAAACAAACAAAAAACAAAACAAAAATAACTAGAAAAGCACTCAGAGAGCGCAGACCTCCGCCAAGGACTACTCCCATTTTTTATATAAATTGCGATAAAATCAGTCTTCTGGATCAGATCCGGATCAGCCTTTGGAATATGAAAGAGGATCCCATTGTCCATCCCTGAGTCAAATTTCATGGGGTTTGGTCAATAATTAACCGAGATATTGAGAAACAAAAGTTTTGGCCCCATTTACCACAATGTTAACTAAAATTTCAAAGTGATCCAGAATCCAGGATTTCTTCCGGATCACCCCCAAAATGAAATCAGTTCTTCCTTTTCACATTTCCAACAAATCCTGAAAATTTAATCAAAATCGGTCCATAACTTTTTGAGTTATGTTGCTAACAGACAAACAAACAAACAAACAAACAAACAACAAACAAACAGACAAACAAACAGACAAACAAACAGACAAACAAACAAACGCCGGCAAAAACATAACGTCCTTGGCGGAGGTAACTATGGTTAATTCAATGAACTCTGCTTCTGGTTGGTTGAGCTTCAAAGCTCGAACCAAACACGTGATCAGCGGAAGATGGAGCAAGACCGTCTGCACTAGTGGTTGGACAAACTGACCACAGCCACACATTTACCTGATAATCGGATCGTCAGTCAGCCAACATCCCCGCATGAAAGCCAGAATCGGCCGAGACACGACTGCTACTTGAGTAAGTTCAGCGTGGTTACACAACATGAAACTCCAGAAGAAGTTGCAGCGAGTGTAGTGTGTCTGAAACATAGAACTATAATAAAATCTTCAAGGTAAAACCAAGATTTTAGTTATTTATTTAATTTCAAATATACAGTGTAATATGGTTTGCAGTGGTATAAACAATAACATTGCTAGAGGCTTTATAATTCATGTTTACAGGGCATTATACAGATGTAGAAACATAATATGTTCACATTTTCTATTTCAAATTCCATACAAAGTGCTTTTGTTTTCATGGCTTTGGAATTTGTGCAATCGTTTAGAGAACTTCTATAAGAGGACAAGAACACTGAAATACAACAAATTTGTTTTTCTGATGAGAAGATTGACAGCAATGGTTATGAATTTAGGATTGAGTTCAACACATTTTTTTTTTTGCAAGAATATCTTTCTTAAAGACACCACAAAGTGAATTTTTGCTTAAGTATTTTTGTTTTTCACAAACAAAAATATGTCATTCCTAAAGATTTGAGTGTATGAACTTTCCCAAAACACATGGGTGACCGTTTCTTCAGCTCTTTGACAGAATGAGCAAAGATGATCCATGTTTAAGCGACATTTTGAAATAACAGCACTAACAGAGTTGTTCCAAAGAAAAACAGAAGCTGGTTTACTGAAAGACTCTCTTGTGATAAGTTCTTTTTACATTGGTTATTTGTTTTAATGATTAAAAATGGGTCAGAGTTACCAATAAACAGCTCTGTTTTAGCTGGGCCATCATGAGAAACATGTACATAAGTGAACATCATCATTTTCACACCAGAAGGGATGGCGTCAAAAATAATTACATATTCTCTTGGCATTAATGGAAAATTGTAAACATCGAAAAATTCATTGTAGGAGTAGGTGATGCCTTCGTTGATAAATAGTTGGTGTACAAAGATCGTCAACCCCTTTTTTTAGGAAAAGAGTTTTGTGCTTAAAGCATATATCCTTGTTATTCCATATGTAACACTCTTTGTGAAAGTTACAATGTTTAATTGGAAGCCTATCAATGCTATAATTACATCTCAAAATAAAGTTTAGACCTCCGAATGCTTCAAATACACGTGTTGAAATGAAGCGGACAGCCCTGGCATATTCCTCGTTCTATATTGTCTATATATCTATATCTATATATCTATATATCTGTGAGTTGTTCCACTGCAGTACAAATGGAGCTGCCACTAGTCAGTCTTGACAGAGGGGGAAAGCCTTATCCACTTTTTATTATACATCCATAGTCTGAAAACAGAGTGCTGTAAGCAATGATGAAGGGACCTGCAAAGAGGACTCCACAGTGGGAATAGGGAGAGGGAGAAGGAGGCTTGGGAGGCTCATGTTTCAAAGAGACAGAAGTGAAGGGAAAACAGGATTGTTTGAATATAATTTGAAACTATTCAGTTGTACTTCTGACACGTGATGATTTTAGCATGGGTTGAAGATTTAAATTCAGATATATCAGTTAAACACTGGGAGAAAGATTAATTCTTCCTCCATTAATAGTCGTTATTGATTTGTCCAGTTCGAGGTGGTACACAACTTGCACTATTCTAAAACAAAATTGCATAAAAAGTTTCCAACAGTGTTTTCTCAGTGTGATAAATGTTCTTGTGCTGAGGGAACACTTGATCATCTTATTTGGTTTTGACCACAATTATTTTCTTTTTGGTGTACAATTTTTAAGTGGTTTTCTAAGTGTTATTCTAAAGACATTAAGCCTGATTACAGCTTAGCTCTATTTGGATGTTCTATAAATGCTGCAGCTTGGGATGGTGGTGGCTAAAAACCTAATTTTGTTGGCATGGAATTCCACCACCACCAAATTTTGAAGACTGGCTTTGTGAAATACTATCTGTAATTCAAATGGAGCGTGTTCGATTCGACACTATGAACAAGAAAGAGACATGAAGCTATATGGGGAGCATTCCTGGCTCAATGCCATATCACCACAAATTGAGAAATGGGACATACATATTGGATCTTGACTGTTATTAGAAGAAAAAAACTTGCACATGGTAGCATTAAATAAAGGTAAATACATGAATTCATAAATAAAAAGTGTGGTGTTTACCTTCACATCACAACAAATGTAAGATACACAGGTATATACATCCATGTTATGAGAATAATATGTTTTTTTTGCAGATCATTTTGGCATTAATGGCAAATAAACCGAGTGGTGTGCGGCTGTCCGTTCACCCATCCCGAGCTCTTGTGGATGAGAAGTTTAAAGTGCTGGTCCAAAATGCTCCTCCTGGGACTGAGCTGACGGTGCGCTCCCATCTCCTCAGTGAAGACAAACACAACTGGGAGGCGTTTGGACACTACATGTGTGACAGCACCGGGACACTCAACTGTAAGTCTCTCACTAAGTATTAATACTCCCCTGTTCAATTCAGTCTTTTCCGGTGGAGGGCCCATCACCTGCTAGTTCCAAAGGAGAATGCCTGGGATGTTCCATTAAGTGTATTATATATCATATATTTTCCTGAAGACAAGTTATGCAAGCACACCATGTTAGAGGTCAAATTTGTAGAAAGGTGACTCCGCCATTAGTAATAGTATACCTGTCATTGACTAAATGCAAGTGTTACGGCCCCAGGCCTTAGTTCTAATATTTCTGCAGAGTTCTCTTGATTCCTGCTGCACGAGCCCTGGTCTGTGATTGGTGGGGCAAGTCCACGCCCACTTCACCTGCAGCCACCTCCCCCTATTTAAGGAGATTGCCAGCACCTGTTTGGGGCTGCTGGCCTTGGTGGCCAGTACGTCATTTTGGTTTTGTTTATGTAGTTTAGTCTCATTCTGTTTTGTGCCTTTTTTGATTTGGTCACTCGATTCTGTTTGTGGGTTTATGTGGTTTAATTTGGGGAACTTGTGTTTAGTTTAGTGTGTGTCCCTAAGTTTTACCACTCGTTTTTGTGTAAGCCTGCGTGACCCCTTTTCTGGCACAAAACTCTGTTTATTCTGTTGTTGTTCTCTTGTTTAGGTTGTTTTCTGTATATTTTTAGTGTTTTGTTAATTTACCTTTACATTCCTGTTAATTAAACATTACTTAATTTATTCCATTTTACATCTTGGTTTTATTTTTGTTACTTCCCTCACCCCAAACGAGCTGGGTCGTAACAGCAAGACTTACCTGATATTTTAGTTCTCCAGTAAAACCAGTTACACCTCCATGGAGACAAGCAGGTGGCTGACCTCAAATCTGAAAAGTTACATAGTGCACCTTTGCATTGACAGTGTGTGAGGACCCCAGCCTGGGTGGGACATATGAAGGAGTGGAACCAATGGGATTACTGTGGAGCCTCAGACCAGTGCCAGGGAGTAAACCTGGACTCAGGTCAGACATTATAATGTGTGACTGTTGTTTCTGCAGTATTTTTGTGTAGCAGCACATGTGATGTAAGAGTGGGTACGAGATGTAATGCAAAGTGTATCTAATGAGTGTGACTAATGCAATATAATAATGGCTCAGGATGAGGAAGACCAATGTGGAGACCCCTCTGGAGGTGACAGTGTCAGTGTACCAGGGCCACCTGTCAGAGGGCTTCAAGGAGCAGAGCTGTCTGGCTGCTGTGCTGGTGGAGCGCTGGTACATGGCTCCTGGAGTCCAGAGGATACCAGTTACAGAGCACGACCTCACTGCTACACTCTTCCTCCCTCCAGGTGGGCTCTCCTTCTGCACAGTGTGTGCCAGGGGTTGACTTTGTTGTTCACAGAAGGTTTTGTGCAGGACCTGGTCCGTTTCCTGCTGTCCTGGACCTCTGGGGAGGAGGTGGCAATCTAGTGGAGTATAGAGCGTCTTTACTGGCGTCACATGGGTTTGCTGCTCTGGCCCTGGATTATCTGACCAATAAAGTCACAATGACAACTGGAAAAAGGATGAAGAATGACTACTTTGAGGTAATGAAGATCTTTTTTATTTTGTCTTATTTTGAACTTTGAAACTTGAAAGGCTGCTGTGTCATCATCACAATAGTGGATGAGCAGCTCACTCTTTTTATCATTAGGTAATAAATAACTTTGGTTTAAGATTAAAAAAGTCTGCAGTAAATTTAAGGTTCAGTGACCTTATGTCCCCAAATAAATCACAGAACAGGTTGTTCTAAGGCACAGGTTATTATGTAAGCCACATCTAATCAAAGTTTAATCAAACTTCAATATTGGTACAATGGGTACACACTGAAATAGTACAACATAAAAATATTTATTGAGGGTTTGAGCTTCCTGTTATCTGCAAAATTTTGAGAACTTTTTACCATTCAAAGCACAGACACTGTGCTCTAGTTGTTTGCCAGTGGAAAGGACACTTGTGCATATTTTACACTTTTCACTTATATTCTGTTTCTTTCACCACTACCACCTGAATGTATATGCCTTATTGTAATTATTTACAAGAAGAGAAAATGAAGATTTTGAACACGACTTGGGCAGCGAGTGATACCTGGATGCCTTACCATGCCCAGATTAGACAAGGCAAGACGCCTTGCATTTGAGAAAAATCTTTGAGAGCCTCCTGCACACAGGCCAGATTAGGGAAGAACATGAAAGAACGGTATTCCTTTTTCATCACTCTGAAACAGATGAATGAACAGATTTTCCCATAAGTTGGCTAAAGTCCGACCATAAATGAATTAATCATGATTTACATGGTGTTCATTAGACCATTATGTTTGATAGTACATGTAGCTTGTTATTGCTTTTCTAGACTGCCTATACATTCCTGGAGCAACATCCTCAGATTGTGGGCAGCAGGATCGCCATGTGGGGCCTGTCTCTTGGTACATCTTGGACCTTAAAAATGGCCGCTTACTCCAAGGTCATGAAGGTAACAGTGAACGTGTGCTACATAGATTTGCTCATATTTAAACAATTTAAATAAAAATTAAGTTTATTTCACTTGAAAGAAGGCATCATTTTAAAACTATAATGTCACTGTGGTTTCTTTGTGTTTCTCAGCTTAGATGTGCAGTATGTTTCAGTGGAAGTCACGTTCAGCCAGTGAACGGCAGCATTGAAGAACTATTGAACTACATGAGAATGTAAGTTATGTTGCTGCTAATAGCTTTATTATCAGTAGTTTGAAGATTGCATTGCAAGTTTCTGTTATTTTTTCATCAGCTCTTTCTGCGAGGTGTGTGATATACCTCTCTTTGTACTTGATTCTATTCACCTTATTCTGGCCCGCCCACTTTTGTCTCTAAATGCTTTCATGTGGTGGCACTTTCAGTTAAATGTGAATTTCATTCATTTCAGTGGAGAATTTGGGAACATTTTGCATCTTAATTATGACATAAAGTTAATTTGTGTAACATGTTAAATTTTCATGTGCACCAACAAGAGTCTCACCGATTCTCTAGGACAGTCTTTCCCAAACTTTTTTCTGAGAACCCATACTTTAAAAGTCACAAACCTTCACGACCCACGTCAATAGACATTATTCTTAAATAACAAAGTAAAAGTGGATGTGATCATTATATGAACATTAATGAGAGTACTTTATTGTTGACTGCCTGATCGTGTCTCCTTGAACAGTTACTGTAGTATTACTCAAGTTTTAAACAATGAAAAACTGTAACTGAACCAGCAATAAAAGGTATCCATCTGGAAGTGCACAGATTTTCTGATTTATAACCCTTCTTTTTGGACAACCAAGCAAGCGTTTCTCAACTTTAGCTCCAGGAACACTCGTCCAGTGCAGGCAGATATGATTTGCTGACTCATTAGCCCTCTCATGTCTCAGAACTATATTGCAGACCTACATGCAGATCGTGACAAGGCGACCCAAAAAAATCTCTTGCAACCCACCTGACGGTTGCGACCCAGTCTTTGGGAAACAATGCTCTAGGGGCTTTAAAACAGTTTTATAGTCTTCATTGAACTTATTTTCTGTTAAGATCGGCAGCCCCATGCAAAATAATACAATCCGAATGATGATGGGGACGTGCATACAAACTTCTGGAATAAGGTGAATAGCACTGTGCTTGGGTAAAATGTTTTATCATGTAACAAAACTGTATTCAGAAATCAAGACAAAGTCCGCATCAATGGGAAGCAGGAAGCAATATTGCATGATGTGATCCTGCCAATCCCTGAAGACCCTGCATTCAAAGTAGATGTGAGTACGAGGGATTTATAGATATTTAAACAGAAAAGCACTGGAGAAATGCTGAAGTAACATTACTGCCCCTTTTTATGTGGGATCTTTGTATGTTTTACTCAAGGCAATCTCACCAGCAACCACATTTATATTGTTTTGTCTTGTACTATTTTACTACAAAAATGTTTTTCTTCATGTACAGGTGGGACGTGTGCAGTGCCCCCTGTTGTTAGTGGTGGGTCAGGATGATCAGAACTGGCCGTCTTTTATATCTACTATGGATGTGAGTTCACTGTATTTGGGGATATCATAGCAGCTACTGCAGTTTGTCAGGTGGAAAATATTGAAAGATAAATTTAGATGTGTTAATTTTAAAATTGTATATTATTAATATGCATTATACAGGTGGGAGTACAAATTAAACTCAAAATAAAGTTATCTACCAAAGTTATGGAACATCAAGAATGTGATTTTATTTATTACTTGAATTTTGACCGTAGCTATTCTCCCTATATTGTCCTTGTGTCTCACTTAATGTCTGAATGCTGGGAATTGTGAAGTCTTTACTTTAGTAGACATTTGATTGCATGTTGCTTACCTTTCTTTCCTATGGTAGTTAAAGTTCTTGCTTTTTTGTGTGTCAGATAAAGGCAATGATGGAGAAGGCTGGGAACATTCACCTGCTCACTCTGCTCGTATATCCCAACGCTGGTCATCTGATCGAGCCTCCGTACTCTCCACTCACACGGACCAGTAATTTCAGACCACTTCAAAGCACAGGCTTGTGTATGAGAAGCTGTAAAAATCTTAAAGTATGCTGTCAGCATACTGTAAACTACTGTACTGTACTGCAAAGCGTAGATCAGGGCTGGGAGATTAAACTCATGACGAGTTATGATTTTCCTTTTCTTTTTCTTCCTGTCTTCTAGTCATGGTGTTGTGGGGCGGGCAGACTGTGGGCCATGCTCGAGCTCAGGAGGACTCCTGGAGGAAGGCTCTTGTATTTTTGAGAGAGCACCTTTATGACAGGAGAAAAACATTCACATCAAATCTATAAGATCAATAAATACATGTGTAACGTGATGTGTGGGTCGACTTGTCGACGAATAGCTTAAAGAGAAGTCCATGTATATGGACAACTGGTAAGGCAGTTATAAGGCTAAGTGAAGTACCATCTGAAAGTCTCCTAGAAGATGTGAATGCAGCACTGAGAGCGATCCCTACCACAACCATCACTGAAACCTATGAGCTGATATACACTTCAGCAGCAGTGATCCTAGAGGTGCTGGGCTCTAAGAGCAACCATGGGAGCCATGCGATACAATACCCACCATGGAAAAGACAGTTAGAGGCTAAAATCAAAGAGGCGCGGAGAGAAGTCAGCCAATTGTCAGAGGCCCAGAAAGGTGCAATGAAAAAGCAAGAGGTACAGCCAGATTCCCATATCTGAAGCACTTGAAATTGCCAAACAAAGGCTCCAAGCCTTGGCCAGCCGCCTAAAGAGGTACACATGAGATACCGAAGCCAGACGAATAAACCGGCTGTTTGCAACACAACCGGCAAAAGCATACACACTGGCAGGGTAAAAACACCGGAGCAGACCCACCAAGGCTGGAGAACTGAAAGGTACTGGAAAGGCATATGGGAGAGGGATGCATCACATAACACAGATGCACAGTGGCTGGTGGATCTGAGAGAAGACCACAGCAAACTCCCTGAACAGAATCCAGTCACCATCACAGTGGCAGAAAGAGTCTCAGGTATGAAAAGCTGGACCGCACCGGGCCCTGACATGATCCACGCATACTGGCTAAAGAAGCTCACTGCTCTCCATGAGCACCTGGCAGCACAAATGAACCAGCTGCTAAGGGATGGAACACACCCTGAATGGTTAACCCAAGGGTGTATGATCCTAATCCTAAAGGATCCTTCAAAGGGTGCAGTCCCATCCAAATATTGGCCAATAACCTGTCTCTCCACAACATGGAAGCTCATGTCAGGCATCATCGCAGCTAAGATAAGTGGGCACATGGATCAATACATGAGCTCAGCACAGAAGGGCATTGGCAAAAACACCAGGGGAGCCAAGCACCCACTCCTGGTTGACCGAACAGTCGCCCGTGACTGCAGAACCCGTAAAACCAATCTGTGCACTGCCTGGATTGATTACAAGAAAGCCTACGACTCACTTCCACACACATGGATCACTGAGTGCTTGAAACTGTACAATATCAACAGGACTCTAAGGGCGTTCATTGCAAACTCAGTGCGGTTGTGGAAAACCACCCTTGAAGCCGATGGGAAGCCACTTGCACAAGTGTCCATCAAATGTGGCATATACCAAGGAGACTCACTGTCCCCACTGCTGTTCTGCATAGGCCTGAACCCCCTCAGCCAAATCAACGACCGCACTGGCTATGGATACCGACTCAGAAACGGGGCCACCATCAGTCACCTCCTCTACATGGATGACATCAAGCTAAGTACGCTAAGAGAGAGAGAGAAGGTAGTCCACAGAGAGGGGGTCTCACTCCCAGAGGGAACAATAGCAGAATATGAAGACAGTTACAAGTACCTTGGTATCCCACAAGCAAATTGCAACCTTGAAGAGGCAACAAGGAAAGCGACTACGGCCAAATACCTGCAAAGAGTGAGACAAGTCCTAAGAAGCCAGTTCAATGACAAGAACAAGGTGCAGGCAATAAACAGCTCTGCCCTGCCAGTGATCAGATACCCAGCAGGAATCATAAGCTGGCCAAAGGAGAAGATACAGACCACAGACGTTAAGACACGAAAGCTCTTGACCATGCATGGAGGATTCCATCCCAAATCCAGCACCCTGAGACTGTACGCAAGCCGGAAGGAAGGAGGCTGAGGACTAGTGAGTGTGGGAACCACTGTCCAGGATGAAACATCAAAGCTCCTTGAGTACATCAAGGACAAGGCCCCGACAGATGAGGTGCTCAGAGAATGTCTCAGACAGTGGAATCCAGAGGAAGAGGTGCTGGAGGGGCCATCATGGCAGGACAAACCCCTGCACGGGGCGTACCACCGGAACATAACTGAAGTGGCTGATATCAAGAAATCCTACCAATGGCTTGAGAGGGCTGGTCTGAAGGACAGCACAGAGGCACTGATCCTGGCTGCTCAGGAGCAGGCCCTGGGCACTCGAGCAATAGAGGCCCAGATCTACAGTCCCTGACAAAAGTCTTGTCGCTTATCCATTTTGTAGAAACAAGCTTATAACCTGACTTTAAATTAATCGATTGGTTTTAGAAATGTCTCATATGAAAGCTAAAACCCTCCCAAATTATGCTCAATATACTAAAATAAATTTGCTTCACTGAAGAAAGATTGATCATTTAATGAACACAGAAAGGTCAGATTTTAGCAAGACAAAAGTCTTGTCACCTACAGAAAATTGAACAAATAATTTACTTCAAATACAAAAATATGTTGCATAACGTCAGTGAATTAAGTAGTGGTGCTGTGAGATCCATATTTAATATCTTGTATGACTTCCATGAGCTTGAAGGACGCATCCATGCGGTTCAACAATGATTCATACAATTTGTTGATGAAGTCATCAGGAATAGCAAAGAAAGCGTCTTACATGCCTCCCAGAGTTCATCAAGATTCTTTGGTTTTGTCTTCCATGCTTCCTCTTTCATTCTAC